CTTGCCGCTCGTCAGGCATGCGTATCCGGTAATCTTTTGTCAGTTCATTCATATACTTGTACCCAGGAAGTATATATATATATATATATATATATATACGTGTCATAAGACGATTGTTCGATTAATTTGGCAGAGACAGACGTCTGCCAGTGAATATGCACGCACGGACAGATTTCTTTCACAGTCGTTGGGTCAAACAGTAAATCTCATTCATCTATTAAAGAGTAGATGTCTTCACATGTCTCTCAAAGGGCTATGGACTTCGCCTACCATGAATCTGGTTTAGCTCCTTTTGTCGAGTGATTTTCCGGGACATGGTCAATGAAACATGCCTCAGATTCATGAAGCCAAAGATGAGAATTAGGTAAATCACAGAAGTCAAGGCGGTAGAATAAGTACCAAAGGATGTGACAGTCACCCAGATCATAGGTGCTACTTATATCAAATAGCTAGGACAACTTTAAAACTCCAAGTACTCCAATCCTAAGGAAGATTTGATCGGTAAACTACTTTATTTTCGGGATATACCTGTTCAGAGGCGAACGCGTGTTCATGTGCGAATAAATAAAAAACGGGATAAAATGAAACAAACGTGACTTCCGAAAGAAACAAGATAAGATACTGACTTACCACTTGATAGTAGATCCTCACAAATAGTCAAGAACTGACCGATGGTTCCCGTGCTTGTCCAGGTAAGACAAAGTTTTGCAAGTAGGAGCAGAATTGGACCGGGAACTCGACCAGCGGCAGTCTAAAACCGGGAGATAAATTCACAAGAAAACCGATTACCACAAACAGTGGTTCGTTCCGCGTGCACAACCTACTGATTGTGTGCTATTCCGTCGAAAAAGAATTAAACCCCATAGTGATTCCATATTCATCGGTCGATGAAAATAAATGTACCTGGCAATCAAGAAGCAACACAGTTTCTGTCGTAGAGTGTTGTGCTACATACAGAAAGGTTAAATTCTATAGCAACGATAATCTAGTGCGTGTTAGTTATATACTTCACTGAATTATTTGGACATGGACAGATGATCCCATTCTAACGCCGTTAGCACAAAAACATCTCTCCGAGTAGTTGAGGTCTTATTCTCGTTCCGTTTTCACAACCATTCACTCTGAAGTGTCCTGTGATAGTTTTGATTGCGGTCTTTCAGTTACTCATTTGTTTGATTATATACATAGCGCCTACAATTTAACCACGCACTTGCATTTCTACATATGCGTTCGAATTGTGTTCTCACTCATGAACTTTTCTCCCTTCAAAACTAAACACGGTTCCACTATCCACCCCACACAATACACTCATCTTTTATGGTAGCCTCTGCTTCGATTGGTTCAACTGATGTAGGTTCGTATCGTAGCTCGCCGTTATCCTCCTCGACTACCTCAACCTGTGTTCGAACCGGTTTCTTCCAACTTGAGAATTCTAAGGCGTATGCGACAACATGCAGGCTTTGCTCGTACGCTCGAAAGTCCCGAGTATGATGTGTTTCTTTTCGAAAAAACGTATAAATTATTCGACCTCCGTAATCCTATCATGTGTCTCTCTGACCCCTAAAGACGTGTTCCATCTCCGCCATTTCAGAAACTCAGTCCAATTAGCGTCTGGTCAAGAAAGAGTGGCATTGTTTTGAGAACCAAATCCGGGACTGTTCAGATGGACTCGATCTCGTATACAGTCG